TTTCTGTCTAAATTCCAGCCATTTAACAAAGGTCTTCCCACCATTAGGAAAATACAGTGGAGTATGGTTGGGATTTGCAGAGTGGCACACAGGAGCTACTTGTCCAAATACCAGCAAAATTTCAATGGGATTTGGGTGTCTTTCATAGATGTCATAGATTTCATAGACATTAGGGCTGGAAGGGACCTCGGAAGATCATCGAGTCCAGCCCCCTGCCCAAAGGGCAGGAAGTCAGCTGGGGTCATAGGATCCCAGCAAGATAAGCATCCAGTTTGCTCTTGAAGGTGTCTTTAACGGTAACATTTTTACAACTTCCACTGGAAGAGTCCAAAGTACAGCGTGCTAAGCACTAGTATCCCTACTCTGAGGATGGGGCAGCTGAGGTCTTGGAGTATACTACCACATACCAAAAAACCAACAAGGAACCCTGTGCTTATGTAGCACTATACACCTCCCCAAATATTTGTCAAAGACTCAAAACATCTCTGGGGGGAATTTGGAGTCAAAAGGAAACATACCCTCTGATTTCTGCATAGGAAAAGCTCTGCTTCCATGGAGGTCTATAGCTACTGAACTCTATGCCAGCTGCTGCAAGGCCTGAGATTCCTGCTATAACTGCAGTATAGCCACAGTCCACTTCTACCATTTTTAGAATGAAAGACTTTGATGGCCTGCAAGGGAAAAAAAACGGACAAGAGATTATTTATTGGCACTGAAAGCTGCTATTACACTTGCAAATCTGGACACACCTTTGCAAGGTCCCTTCTGCTGAAGCTTTGCTAGAACTTTTATTTTTAATTTACTGCAAGCTAAAAGCCTTCTGGGTCCACATTACTTCAGAACAATTCCTCCCCCCTTTTACTGGCTCTTTCTCCATGATGTGAACATAAGATGCTTCTTAAGGATTTGGGAAATTTCCCCCAAACTTGAGGGTGATTTAGTTCTGAGGTTTTGGAGGTAGCTTGTTTTACAGAAGTGGGACCTGCTGTGCAGATCTTGGCTCTAACAAAGGTCGGAGTTGTTCAGATCCCAGGTTCTGTTTCAACCCCAGGTTTAGCTAAACGTTTGCATGCTAAAACCCTCAAAAGATCCCATGGGAAACGGTAACATCTGGTTTGGCAATGCGCAAACTTTTCCTGTTTAATTGCATTTTTCCATCCTTGGGCACTAGAACAAAAGAACGCCTGTATCTGAGGCTCGCTTTTAGAGCGCTGAAACTTTGTCTCTGCCCTTTGGATGCTGCTGAAGGCTTTGCATGTTACAAAGCAATGAGACTATTCAGTAGTAGAGTTATCAGAGACACCTTCCACACCAACAGCTTATTAAGTGTCATGTTTGCAAGAGCAAGGTTAGGCAATACAGTGACTCCAATGCCACCACTGGCTTTCCCTATCATTGATGGCAGAAGAGCACATGATTCCTGATGTACGCAAGGCAAAAACTCTTATACAGACATGGCCCACGTGCATCTCTATGGCCAATGTTGTGAAAAAAGCATCTGTGCTAAGAAAGCAAGAACTCAGGGCAGTTGTCTCTGAGAGAGCTGTCCTGTTGGCTAATGCACAAAAATGGCTGGAATCCAGCAAAGCTTTCATAGGTTGGCAGGAGGCCAGTGAAGCTCTCCTAGAGAAGCTCCGTCTGCATCCAAAAGTAAAAAGCAAAGAAAGCTGAGGTATGTTTGAACTGTTCCTTGTTTTATTTTTTCAGAAAAAAAATTCTCCTTCCAACTTCAAAGTCCAATCTGAGTTGTAGGACCATATTTAAATACTGGGCTAGCAAAGAGACTCCTCACATGATTCGGGCATGAAAAAGAAAGAGGAATGTTAACGAGAGAGATCAAACCCATTCACTCGATACTATTCTGTGCTGAAGCCAGTTGTTATTGAAGCCTCTCCCAATACCCATTTCCTGCCAAATTAAGAAACACTCATGCCCATTTAAAGTTCCTTTTTGTGGCTGTACTTGTGATCTGGGTTTGTGGTGTAACAGGCTTAGTTTACCCTGCAATCCTCTTAAAATGTCTTTCTGTTTGGTTGTCTTTTCATCTTTCAGTGCTCTGGCGCTGGGATTAAAGGGATCCAGACTTTATTCCACAAGTCTGGAGTGATAAACCACTTTCCAGAATTAGTTGCCTAGAGTCGCAATTCATACTGGAAAAAAACATTTTGACTTGAACTTTAATTAGGCAGTTTAATGATAGTGCATTTTGCACGTCTGTTCCCACTTCCACTATGGTCTTGCATGTGACCCTGGGTGAAACCGCACAGGATAAGTTATTTCGGAGGGAGCACAGAATATCTCATGCAGTGGTTCTCATCAAATTACCTCTGGATATATTTTCATGTACTGTTTCACGCATTTGCAGTATTTCTCTTGTTCCCGTTGGCTTTTAACCAACCTCATTTAAACCTCCTCTTTAAGTTGCAGGACATGTATATCTTCAGGTTCATTTTGAGGTGGCTGCTTTGTCATTGGAATGGTTTGCAAAAGAAGATTCATTATGAAACTCTGGTTGGTTTGTTACAGACCCTGTGAATCCCACTCGAGAGAGCTGAATGACCAAGCAGCTATTGATCTCTCCGTATAACTGGTATACACTTCACAGAGGGGAAACAGGCCCAGCTTGGTTATATGTCTAAGAATGATACGGCATGAATCTGCAGTAGACTTGGCTGCGGACCCTAGGAACGTGTGCTTCCTCTGTTCAGACCAATAAGCTCCTTGCTTTTTGTAGCATGTAGGGTTCCTCGGTTTTCCCCATGCTCTCCTTGGTTGCATTCTCTCTCCTCTTTGACTCCATCTTTTTAGTTGATCTTACACTGACTACAAGAGGCTTCTTTTTTGCTTGTGAAATCCTTGGAAGCAGCTCACCCATGTAGAACAGGTCTGCATTACCCCCCCTTACTGGAAGGGGCATGGTCTGCTTGGCTGACCTTTGTGAATGTGAACAGCTGCACTTGCTCTGCACAAGCAGTGTAGGAGATAATGAAGGTATTTCTCAGTTTGCACAGGTGCCATGTGGCACCCTCAATCAAAGGAGCTCTGCAACATATGGATGCCTACTGGCTTCCCATTCCTAAGGTGAACTGATAGGGGTAAAATCACCCTGCACAGCACTGCCTGAGTACATGGCTGATAAACTAGATGATTCTCATTTGAAATAGGTGCTTCACTCTCTAGAAGTGTCAGTTTACTTACTGGAGAAATATTTAAAGGGATCTCACCATGACTTCCAAGCCCCTGAAATTGTCTGATATAATCTTTGACAGAAATGTCTTCCTTTGTTGAGTGGACTAGATTTTTTTAAAAAAGGAAGTGGGGGGTGAGGGGGAGGATTTGGAAGACTGGAAACTGTTTTGCTTTGGTATTTTTTCTTCATCCTGAGCTCTGTTTGAGTGAGTTTTTGGAGTTTGTAATTAATGGCTCAGGAGCTGTTTTTGTTCTGTGCTGTTGCACAGTCCAGCACAATGGGCTCCTAGATACCACTGCACCACATACAGCACCAACAATAATTCCCCGGGTGAGAAAACCCAAATTATAGGAGCCAGCTAGCCCCTGATCCAGGTGTACCCCAAGTGAAGGACCTCAAGTTTCTCCATAGAGTGGACATTAAAATCTCAGATCATAAACCATTGTAGAGTCCAAGCGTGGAAGGGCTGTGAATATCAGCTCGGTTTGAATCAAGAGGATCTAGTTTTCTAATAATTCAAAATTAGACCACAAAGCCTTTGCACATTGGATCACATTGATTTGCCAATTAATTTAGTAGCTGTTCTCTGACAGTGACCAGTGTGGGATGCTGCTGTGGAAGTTAAATCCCAAATAGTGAGGGACCAACTTGCATGCTACTTTTTAATGGGATTTTTCTCTGTTCCAGTTGGTAGCACTTTCAAACCTTGCAGTACAAGGACTAATAACTATTTCTTTTCATTTTACATGAGACAGCTGCTGCTGGTGCTATTTTTATGGCAATATTAATCTCTAGCTAATAAAATGACTAGTACATCTGACTGTGAGATAGGAGTGAACAAATCTGAAGCAACATGTCTGTTTCTGTGATCTAAGCTGCACAGACCAAAGAGCTGGAAAACTCGGGCTCTTTGTTCAACATTGGAAAGATAGGAAATGACTACTATGGTTAAATCTATGACCCAAAATTCAAGAAGATCTGGTTTTCAGTTTTGTCCAGTTTAAGGATGAGTATAATGGTTTAGCAAGGTCATGCAAGGACAAAAGCATACAGGCTAAGTAGGGAAGGAATGGATAAGAGAATTTAGAAAAATGAAATGTTTTCAAAGATAAAACTTAATGGAGGGACCTGGAGATGTACTGACTCATCAGCCTAATTTCAGTTCCTAGAAAGACTTACTTGATTCCTGGAAGGATGTAGCAAGAAGAGGGTCAGTAGGACTTTATCTTTGGTCCATGACTATTCAATATTATTATGAATGACTGGAATAATAGACTAGAGAGTAGACTTATTAGATTTACAAACAATATTGAGCTGGAAGCAGGGCTGCAAGCACTTTGGAGACCAGGATTAGAATTTTAAAAAGACCTTGAATATTGGACAAATGCCTGAAAAAAGGAAGAGCTCCAACAAGAGCGAGTGCAAAGTACTACAGTTAAGTTGGAGACGTCTAATGCACAAATACAGACTAGAGAACAAGTGACTAAGCAGTAATTTTGATGAGAAGGATCTGGGGGTTATAGGAGTTCACAAACTGAACATGTGGCAACATTGTCATAGTGTTGCAAAAAAGCCTGCACTGTACTGGGATGCATAAACAGGAGTATCAGATATATGACAAGTGAAGTAATCATTGCACTCTTCTCTGCTGCTCAGTTTTCAGTGTCATGCTTCAAGAAAGAAGTGAACCAGCTGGAAGGAATCCAGAAAAGAAGAAGAAAAATGATCAGAAGGCTAGAAAATATGATCTGCTAGGAAAGGTTGGAAGAACTGAGTTTGCTTGGCTTAGAGGAGACATGATAACAAGGCTTCACATACATCAAAGGTTATAACTGTTTGTCATCTCCCCTAGGGATAGGGCAAGAAGTAATGGGTTTCAACTGCAGCACGAGAAATTTTGACTAGATGTTGGAGGCAAACATCTTTCTAAGTGTAAACTGAGCGTGGGAATAGATAACAGTACTGGGAGAGGGTAAAGGCTGGAATCTCTGACCTAAATCATCAGCTGCTTCCCATTTTACACAGAAGGAAAGGAGGGCCTGGAGAGGCTCATTTAAAAATTATGAAAATTACACAAAAATTAGAGATACAGCCGAAGGCATGCTTTATGCTAACGCTTTTGAATGTCTGACTCTAACTAATTTACTGGGGTTGTAATCTCAGAAGCAGGTGTCAGAAGTTACCTTGCCCAGTACTCTCTATCCTTAGTTTAATTACTAAACCACCCAAAGTTGCAAAAAGCATTTCCGTTTCCTTCCACTGCCCCCAATCAGCTCGGTTACTTTGTGGTGAACTTCCCCCATACGTACAAGTCATGTGGTGTTACCCAAACTGGACAGATGCACAGAGCCCTTGCCCTGCTGCCAGCCCTTGAAGAGGTAGGCTCTGCTGCAGCATGGCTTGAAGGCAGCAAGCAAGTGTCCTGTTGTGGATCAAGGACTTCCCACAACAGAGGGACCTGCCAGCATAGTCCTCCTGTCTCAACTGGAATCTACTTGCTTTAGGGTCAGAAAATAGGACTTTGGCGGGGGTAGGTGCTGCAGTGTGAGTAGCAAAAGACAATGCCCGTCACCAACAGCATCAATAGCCAAGGAAAGTAGGCACGTGGAGACAGAGTGGCTTCCTGAAAGTTGCACGGTAGCTTAGGACCGAAATCCCTACTCACGGAGTCAAGTGGCCTCTCAAGCATCTTAGCTTGGATTTGCCACGGTCTGCGACACTTACTGCTTACCTGAAGTGAGCATGCCCATTAGTCTTCATGGTCCTTTCCAGAAGTTTGGCTAATCATTGCAAGACAAACCTCTCTGTGGCCAGTCCAACATTATTGATACTGCATGGGGGTGTGTGACTTGCACTCTTTCTATGGTGGCATCCTGTGCCCTTTTCCTGGCTTATGTAGCATGTGTACATGTAGGCCTCAGCCCCCAGCTCCTTCACTTCTATTGCAGTCTTCTTGCGGCCATCAGCACCCGCGTCCTGCAAGATGCGTGGCACCTCCCGGAGCGAATTCTAAAGGGAAAAGCCAGCGGAGCCCTTTCTCCTTGGCTGTCCCTTGCTTTGAGCAGAGAGGTGAGCAGTTCTGAAGTCAGGTAGAGCCAGGGAAGGGCGGAGTTGCACCTTTACAGGCTGGGAGAAAGGGCAGAGTTGCACTTTTACAGGTGGCCATGGCGCTGTTGTCAGCGGGGTGGGGGGTGGCGAGCATTGACCGGTAGTCAGTGACCACCTGCAGATGCCGCTGGCCGCAGCAGTGGTGTCCAGCAGCGATCGCGGGCTGCCCACAGACACCATCGGTGGTGACAGGGGGGTGGGGGGTGAGTGCCTGCAGGTGCCACTAGCAGTGCCGACAGCGCCTTTTCACAGGGAGTGCACTGCCAATCTCAAGGGGTGCACATGCACCCGTGTGCAACCCCCTGGTGTTGCCAGTGGCTACGGACCAGGCCCAGGGCCAGTTGTTGCACTTCCAAGCACTAATTGTGCAGCTGGCTTTTTTTAATAGCTGGATGGCCTTTTTTATGGCATGAGAATTACTATGCCCGTGCGGTTGGTCTATGTTTATTGCACAGGTGACCAGTAAATGGCGCGCGCCAGAGGCCAAACTGAATGAGACGCAGGAGCTGTCGGGAACCCAGGTCCCCCTCAGCCGGGGCCACTTCACAGCTGACTTTTCCTTGCTGGTCTCAGCCTCCCTGGGAGCCAGGCGGGATCAGGCAGCCCCGGGCCCATTGCTTCCCTTGCCTAGGCAAGGGGGGCAGAGGAGCTCGTCTCTGGAGGGCGGCGGGGGTAGAGCGCGTCCCGCCCCGGCGGGGGAGGCCCCCGGTGAGAAGCAGGAAGCAACACGTGGCGCGGCCCGCGCAGGACTACATGTCCCAGGAGCCCGCGGGCGGAGCATGCGCGCTGAGGCTGGGGGGGCTATAAAAGGCCGTGCGCACTACCACGCGGTCTCTTTACGCTCGGGCTCGGGGCAAGTGTATGGTTGTGCCGCAATCCGCCGCCATCCGCCCTGGTGCCCGGCTCCCGGCGCCTCCGCCGGCGGCAGCAGCATGCCCCGAGCAGCCGGATCGCGGAGAGGCGGTGAGTTTCCCCCCCCCAGCTCAGCGCGGTGGCCCCCCTGGAGCCCCTCCCCGCCGCGGGGCCGCCACGTGGGACGGCGCCTCCTTGCTGCTGCATGTGATGAGGACCCCCATCTTTCTCCATCTGAGCGACAGTGTTGAGTCCTCGCTCCTTTTCAAGCCAAGCCTTGCCTGATGCACCCGCCGGGAAGGGCGCGTCGTGGGTCGCGCAGGGGCTGAGCTTTCCTTGGCGCTGATCTCTGCTTCTCTCCTCCCAGGCCCCGTGCTGGACGCAGGGCTGTAGGACCGCACGTGCTGGACATGGGTGCAACCGTGAGCTGGGACGTGGCCGGGTTAATGGCAGGTGACCCGTTCAGTCGGCTTTGGAGCTGCTGCGCAGAGTGAGTGGTGAGTTTCTGAGCGGCCTCCTTGGTAGGTGAAAATCTGGCCAGGAAAATGAGTTAACTCTGTTTCTTGACCTCGTGGCACAGGTTAGCGGCTCACAATGCGTCTGCTGCTTGGATTTGCTTCCTCGTGCTATTTTTCCTATTACCTGTCCTCGTAAATGCAGGGCCGTCCTGAGATCTGAACAGCCCCAGTTTTCCAAAAACCATGCTTTATTTAGCCTTGGTGCTGTGGCTCTGTAGGTGACCAGCGAACTGCCCCTCAAATGTCAGGTTGAGGTAGAATAAGTGTTAGCTATATCCTGGTTGGCCACAGTATTGTCTTACCTGCATGACTGTGCTGGTGCCATGGCAGGAACAGTGCTCTCCTGGCCCTGGTGCTTTGGAGAGACCCAAAGCAAGTGGCGGGCACTATATTTCCCAGGCTTTACATCTCTTACACTCATATAAAGTCCTTCTAGGGGCCCAGTCAAATATTGGCTTAGGACTGAGTGTACTTTTTGTTGACATAACTCCACTTATAACTGTTAAATATTCTGATACTCATAGCAATTTTGAGGTTGGGAGGCTAGTGGTCTAACTAATGTCATTCAACTGCATTCAGCAGCTGCTTGGAATACTCATGAATTCCCCATGTCACCTCTTCTGCAGGGAATGCCAGGCTGTGTGCACGTGGACATGAGGATCTGCTGAAGGTAAATGCATGAGATGTTTTAATTCTAAACTTGCACCGAAAGGGTCTGTCACTCTGTGGTATATGATGACTTAAACTTTTTTCCCCATCATATCGGCTATGCTGATTTCTTGAATTCAAGCCAAACTGTCTGATTCCACAGATGCAAAGAAAAAAAAGTGGGGGGTTGCTCTTCACTTCTCTTTCCATGTTAAGAGGCATATAGCAAAGTACGTGCCTATGCACGCTGCTTTGAAGGTAGACGGCACTTGCGGGTGCTGTTTGTATATATATTAATAGCTTACTCGTATAGCATTTGAGCTACAGGAAGCATTGCATGCATTTTCGCAGTTCAATGTGAAAGACAAAACTCTTTTTTCGTGGGATCTACAGTAATGATGAAGGGATTCTTGTGAGAGTCCAAAATGGAATGGATTTAATCAGTATCACTATATTATTAAAAAAGGCCTGCTAGAGTTCTTTTCAAGATGATTTGGGAATAATTGGTCAGCGATAGGAAGATGGGATTCAGAGCTGGTCCTGCCCTGCAGCTTTCAGCGACCAGGCAGAGGGAGAGATCCCATGGCAGAAGCAGGAGCTCAGGCCTGTGAGGGGACTACATTTCCTAGGTGCCCCTGGGTAGAGCATGTGCACTGAGGCTCAAAGCTGTATAAAAGGCTGTGCATGGGGCTCACATGGTCTCTCTTTTTTTTGCTGGGCCTCGAGTAGGTGAGCAGCGTCTGCCCCTGAAGGGGCTGGTGCAATCCACCACCACTCTGGCACCTGCCCCTTGCTTGGCTCCCACTGCCTCTCCTGGCTCCTTGCACTTCCCTCAGGTTGAAACCCAGCACTGGTGTCTGTGATGATAGCTCTCTTTTTCTACCATCATGGTGTTAGTGCTCACTGCTCTGCACAAGCCAGCTCCTGGTTGATGTGTTGACATGGATAGCCACAGCTTCTTCCCTGGCTTGTGCTTCTTACTAGGTTTTCCCATCCCTCCGCAGGTCCGGTGTGCTGGAGCAGCGTGGGCCAAGCAGTCAGCGCAGGGCAGGGGACCCACTGAGCCCTGCCATGCCCTGTGATGTTCTTCCTGGAGTCGCAGTAAGTCCCTGAGTGAGATTGCTGTAGTCTGTGTAGTGGGGCTGGGACCCCAGGGAGGGTCTGTAGCATCCCTTCAGGACACTGCTGCCCTCCCCTGGGGCTTATTAGTCCTCCCTGTGGCTCCTCTGCCCTCCGTAGCTCAGGGCTGACCCCTGCTGTCCCCAGGGGAGTATCTGGGCAGCCTGCTGGCAGATGCCCTCCTGGGGCCAGCACTTCAACCTAGCCCTGGTTCCATGTGGGTAGCATGGTTTCACTAAGATGAGCACCACGTGGCACTGAGCTCCTTCCTACTGGTGTATGTGATGACTTCTTTTCTTTCCCCATCTGAGCGACAGTGTTGAGTCCTCACTTCTCTTCAAGCCAAGTCTTGCCTGATGCACCAGCAGGGAAGGGCCTGTCCCTGCTCACTCACAAGATTGAACTTTCCTTGGCACTGATCTTGCCGCCTCTTTTTGTCTCTTCTCTCTGGGTCCATGTTGGACATGTGGCCATAGGACCGTGCTTGGTGCAGACGGGTGAAATGGTGAGCTGAGACAGCTGGAAAGTGGCCAGGTTAACAGCAGGCAGACCTGTTAACTTCAGCTATGGAGCTGCTGCCTGGAGCAAGTGGTAAGTTTCTGAACGGCCTCTTGTCTGTGGTCCTTGGTAGGCTAAAATCCAGCCAGGAAAAGACCTGCTTCCCCATGCTGTTTTCCCTAGAATCACTTCCTAACTATTGTGGTTAACAGAAAGCTATAGTGAGATGTGAACAGTCCCAGTTTTCCAAAATTTGTGCTGTATTGAGCCTTGGTTCTGTGGCTCTAGGTAACCAGTGAACTGTACCTGAAATGTCAAGTTGAGGCAGAGTAAGTGTTACATTCTGGTGCCACAGTGTTGATTTTTACCTATGTGACTGTGTACTGGTGCCATGGCAGGAACCTGGCCCTGCTGCTTTGGGGAGAACCAAAGCAAGTGACGGGTGTTATATTTCCCAGGCTCTGCATCTCTATATTCGGTCCTACTAGGGCCCAGTCAAAGACTGGCTTGAAACTGAGTGAAATTCCTTCCTTTGCAAGCTTTTGGGCGCACAAACCCTTCTTTGGGCTGAGGAGAATTCAAAGATTGTAAAAGTCCTCCTCAGAAGCTTGCAAAGAGGAAATTTTTGTTACTTTTTTAGTTGGTCTAATAAAAGAGATCACCTCTGACCCAAGAGCTTTGTATATCATCTTTCTCAGACCAATACAGCTACAAAATAGATCCCTGTTAGTTGTAGCAATTTTGAGATTGGGAGGCTAGTGGTCTAACTAATATCATTCAAATGCATTCAGCTGCTGCTTAGAATACTCATGAATTCCCCCATATGATCTTTTCTGCAGGGAATGCCAGGCTGTATGCACGTGGACATGAGGGTCCTCTGAAGGTAAATGCATGAGAAGTTTTAATTCTGGGCTTCTTGAACCAAAAGGGTCTGTCATTCTGTGGTACATGATGACTTAAACTTTTTTCCCCATCATATCGGCTATGCTGATTTCTTGAATTCAAGCCAAACTGTCTGATTCCACAGATGCAAAAAAAAGTGTTTTTGTTTTTTCTTCTCTTTACTTCACTTTCCAAGTTCTGTGCATGCTTACAAACCTGCCTGTGCATGCGTATAGCAAAGGTATACTCCTGTGCAGACTGCTTTAGAGGCAGATGGCACTTGAGGGTGCTGTTTTCATATATGTGAATACTAGTTTGCTTGCATAACATTTGAGCTACAGGAAGTGCCGCATACATTTTCAGTTCTATATGGAAGACACAGCTTGTTTCCATGGGATCTACAGCAACGATGAAGGGTCTCTCTTGAGTTCTGAGAGTCCAGAATGTAAAATGGCCTTCTTTTAAAATGACCTGGGATTTGGGGGGGGGGCAGTGGTCTAACCTTTTTGTGTCGTGTAATGCCAAGTGTTAGCAAGCACACTTTGTTAGGACTTGAAGTCCTCCTGAGGCTAAAAGATCCTTGTCCGGACCTTTATTTTTAAAGATTTTTAGGTATCAGGTTTTCCAAAGCACCTGTATGCTGCTACTAGAACCTAAATGCCTTTGAAAATCTGGCCCTTGGTAATTGGAGTTAATGATGATGGCATAGGACATGGCAGGGAAGCTGAATTAAGGGGGAATACTAGTTGAGATTCATAATAATGTGTTTAACACAATTTGGCTTTAGCTCATGAGCAGCTTGTTAAACAACCCTTCAATTAAGGTTTAGCATGCTGTGTTGCTGTAGGTCCCAGCAAGCAACTACTAGTGCAGCTACCACAGTAACCCTCTGTGTGGTACAGGGGTGAAGTGGCTATAGGTAATTGCCTTTTCTGTCTCTAGTTTATATCATGAACAGCCACAAAGGCTGAATACCGTGTGGTGGTTTGTGTGCAAAAGAGAACTTTTAGTGCATGTGACACAACTGCTATTGCTGGCTCCATGCTCTGTGCTTACTGTCCTCCCCAACCTGTAGCATCCAATTCTTCAGAGCTGTGCTTGGCATATTGCTGAACGTTTTTGATTTAGTAAGCACAGACATGCCATGCTTTAGTGTGGTATGAGGACTTCTCCGGTGGGACTGTCAAAAGCACGTGGTCCTTTCATACTTAATAAAACTAGCTGAAGACCTCATGGATAGCACTCCTGTCTAAGCTTTCAGATCAAAATCCCAATTGGAGTCAGTCTCCAAAATCAGCTGATGTCAGATAACTAAATGTTGATTCTTTCTCTTGACAGGTTAAAGAATTGTCAAAGCAGAAGCTGGCCGACAGGCTGTTTTATCTGGGTGAATTAGAAAGTTCTCCCCTGCTCATCACATGTATACTTGCCAAACAGACTGAAAGTAACCTTTGGTCAAAGTTGCTGTATCCATGTCACCCCACCACTCACTCCTTGACCAGATATCCCTCAAACTTGTGGAAAACAACAAATATTTAATGTCCTGCCTCCATTTAAGAGAAGCCAAGAGCTATGAATGTCTCAAAGTTTTGTGAGAATAAATTAATTGGAATGGATTCGGGAACATTCTTTATCTTTCTATGCAGTAACGTAGTTAAGTGCGTCTAGAAGGGCTGCATTCACCCTATGCAAGATGGTTTCAGTTTGCTCATGCAGTGTTAACGGTTCTGGGGTAAATTGGCCGTATTGCTGCATGGAAGGCCTTGTAGCTGAAGCAGAACCTGGATTTCTGCAAATCATTTGGGCATAGGCCCTCTTATAGGCTTCCTGACTATCATGCTTCTGCTTGGCTTTCCACCTGCAAAATGGAGTTTGAATGAGTCTCCATAATTAAGGGGGGATTTGGCTCAAGAGCTGGGTCTTACTGTCTGTCTGTCAGCTGGGTGTGAGCAGTTGCTGCTTCCTGGGATAAGGCTGTACTAACATCTTTGGAAGCTGTTAGACGCTTGGGTGGAAGTAGGGAAAACAATGGACATGGGGTCGCCACCCCAGTGTGGGGCACATGAAGGCATGTACAGCAAAGCAAAATGCCTTGGGGCAAATGGTGGGGGAAGGGGCTGGGGCTGCACTGCCACAAGGATTGAGCCCCTTGCAACTCCCCTGCAATCTTCCTTGAGGTGTGAATGCACTTGGATGCTGTAGTTCAAGCAAAGAGCTGGGCTGGGGTTCCCCAGCCCTTGATGCAGTGGTTTTCAGTCCACCTGCAATTAGCCCAGGCTCTGCCAGGCTGCAGGGGCCTGCCCAAAGCCCAGTAGGTGGCTGGGAGGCTGCAAGCAGCTACACCGAGGTCTGGCTCCTTGCTGGTGGGTATATGCACACGTGGGCTGATGGCCAGGAAGGTGCTGGGGCTGCACTGCTGCAAGGACCAGGCCCCTCAGCTCCTCTATCATCTCATGGCATGCCAACATCTTGCAAGTCAAGGTTGTGTTTTTGGCACTGCCCAAAAATGTTGCTGACCCCTGCAATGGACCAGATGCTCTTAAGACCAAAACTGAATCGTGCCTTTCAATTACCTTTGCCATTTTCTCCTCTCGCTTAATGTAAGCTAGTCTGAGGCCCACTGGATACCTGAAAGGCAATCTTGGTTTAGGCTTATTCCTCTTCATAGTTGACTTGCAGATCTGGATAGGCATAGTCAAATGCATGCAAATAGTGGAAAAAGGATGTTGATTACTAATGGCTGCTGACAAACAGTGGCTGGAACAGCTTTAGTAGCAGCAAAAAAGAGAAGGTGTCTCGGGGCCTCCCAAGTACTAGATTCTTAAACTGTTTATGACTTCAGGATCCTAAGTGTCCTAGAGTGGTGTAGCTGTATACATTTCTGGGCTCTGGTGCATGCAGAATAGGAGTGAATGGGTGATGCTTGTTTCACCTAGGTAGCCCAAGGTTTAGGCAGACTTAGCCTTGAAGCTTGGTCTCCAGGTTGATTGCAAACCTGAGGCCTGCAGCTCCCAAGTGATGGGAGGGAATGAAAATGCTATTTAAAAGCCCTCCATGCAGGAAGTACCCACTGCTCATTGTGTGGCACATGAGAATGTCAGTGTGCTCCCATTGAGCTCTAAATGATTGCTGAAAGCTTCATTTTTTGAAAATTAAGCTGGCTTTGTCCTGCCCTTTTTTCCTATCACTTTTTATCCCCAGGAATGGACAAAATAACATCCAGTATAAATATGAGGGTTGACCCAAACTAATGCTTCTATGCGAGCCTAGCTTCAGTTGCAGCATGGAAATCGACTCGGGACCTGTTGACTTGCAACCTGTTGGGCTTCTTGTCTACTCCACTCTTCTACCAAGGGCATCAGGATGTAGCGGGGATGGTTACAGTCTGGTACAGGGGTGGTGTCCTGTACAGCAACTTCTACCACCGTCCCTGGTGTTTACAGAAACTGGTCTTGACCTCTTGAGTTTCTGGGCAGGGAATATTGCCAATGGTTACTGCTTCTTCCTTGGATCTATGCATTGCTACATCTTGAAAGTAGTGAAAGGGGTTCCAGCTACTTGCATCTTTTTTTTTTTTTTTTTCTTCTCATTTTGACTTCTGCAGAAATAAAACCCCTGTCAGACTCACAAATGCTGCTAAACATTGCAAAACAAAACAGCAGGACATAACTCCTAGATCTTTCCCCTTGAGTCCATCTGGGTAAGTGCACCTGATAAAGTGCTATAGATGGGAGTGATTGTTGGCTTCTCATTTTAGTCTGAGCGGTCTTATTTCCAAGCTGAGGCCCTCTCCTGAAGTAGTCTAGTTCAAATGCTTCTGTTTATCTCAACTCTGCCGCTGTGGGAAGAAGATAATAGCACTAGCAATTGTTCAGTCTTTTATAAGATTGTTTTCTCGTTGCCATGCAATTCACCATCTCCTATCACTTGCCACTTTATTTTTTTTCCCCCCAGAAAATGTCAGGACTACTTATTCCTGCATTGTGTACATGCTTTGTGTGATGAGCAGAACAACATGTGATCAGTGTAAACCAATGTCTTGCAGCTTTCTTTTTTAGTTTGAAGCGGAGAGTGTTTCCCACAATTCACTGAATGGTAGTATTAGATCTTGTGGCTCTGGCTAAAAGTGATTGCTAGTGTCACTGTTTTAGTGACAAGACTGCTTAGGAATGCTGTAGCTCACATTATTCTAGGAATGTCCTCTGCTATACCTGCAGGCTAACTTATTAAAACCACTAAATAAAATATGTTCCTGCTTCAGCAGGTATTAAAGGCTCAGCCTGATGATAGTAAACAGATTATCAGCTTGGGACAGCTCTGCTTCCTCTAATTTACAGAATTTGAGTCAATATATCTTATAGTTGCCAAAAGCTGATCCTCAGTCCCAAGGCTATTTCTTAACTGGACTTATTCTATGCATGTGCAGAAACTCATGGGAAAGCCTGGCTGCTGGCCTGCATGAAGGCGAATGTGACATGAAGCTGTACTCTTAGTGTGAAGGCTCTCCACAGTTTGCCATGCTTGCTGGATGGTACACAGCAACTCAGACAAGTTTTGCTGCAAGCAAAAAGCCTATAAAGCATCATGGTAGCTCAGCTGCACCTTGACAGCTGTTTGGCACGAGTTGAATAGGTGACTCTGCCCCTGCGTGGTTATGTGGTGATAAACAACCCAGTAACAGTTTTGCATTC